GTAGGGGAGGGAAGGGCTGAATGTGAGCTGAAGAAAAAGGAAACCTTAGGTTAGAAGAAGTTGCCTCTAGCCTGCTTTTTGCTTCTATGTCACTGCGTGACGGCCTCCTTCCTTCTGCTATCTGGTCCAGGCTGAGTGGACCATGGCACCTGCTGCCCAGCCCTCCCTTCTTCACATCCTGGCTGTTCCAGGGCCTGGGCCACACCTGACATGAGCTTCTTGCTGTCCTGGGGGCCTGGGCCCTGCCCCTCTCTTTCCTCGTCTGCCCTGGGCACTAGCAGCTCCTGTTGCTTTGCTTTTTCCCCTGCCACTGCCCAGTTAAGCTTGGCAATGCCGAGTGCTGGAAGTTTCCACCTTGCCATGACACCTGGCTGCCTGTGACCAGAGTCTGCTCCCTGCCCGGCTGTAGCCTCTTCTGTGATTAGTTTCAGTGTCCCATATGAGGACTCCTTGTAGTCCCTCACCCCTGTTCCTTGCACCCACTACATCAAGGATCCAGTGGGCTGGGCCCATGTTTCCTCTTTCCTCTTCCCCAAGGTGCCTGGTACCAGCCAGGGGAATTCTTGCCAGTGACCTGACTGGTTATCCAGGAAGCTGCTCTCTGGACTTTTCAGGGTGACCCAGTATCTTCCTGAGCAGTGTGCCTGTCACAGCCACCTCCCTCCCTTCTAGCACAGGAACAGGCACAACTGATGGAGTCCCTGCTGCCCTCAGCCCAGTGTCAGACCTAAGGGGGGTTGGGGAAGGGCCTCCCTCTAAGCACTTGTCACAAGCCTCATTTGCACCCCCTCTACCCTGCTCCCTGCAGCTATACCTTCACTTCCCCAAGTCTGTGGGTGCTGCAAATGGGAGGCTCCCAGGAACTGGGCACCAGGCCTCTTCCTTATTAAGCTGCCTCCTCCTGGAGCCTCTGGTACAATTGCCTGCCTGGGGAATCCCCCAGATGGCTGCAGTGGGAGGTGGGAGGACAGGCAAGCCCATGGTTACCATAGCCCAGGTGAGCCAACAACTTTACAGGCCAACTGCTGGCATATCTTGCTCCAGAATGAGGTTCTCAGATGATGCCACCTGCTTCCTGGGCCAGGGATGGCCTTGCTTTCCTCCTTTCTTAAGTGTATCCTTCACCCTTGGCTGAACCTGGTGGGTTGGGAAGGCCATGGAGCCCAGGGTCCTAGGGGCTGGGCTTCACTCCTGCTCTTGTGGTCTTGAGGCTATGGGTGCTGCTGGGGCAGCCCCCTACCCCCGCCTATCACATTGCTTCTCCTTCAGAGGGGACGGATCAGCTCAGCAGAAGCCCACGTGGCTCAAAGGGCCAGGCCTCATGCTTCCCTGCCTCTTAACCTGGAAGCCTCTACTAAAGACTCCTTAGATATTGTGGTTCATTGTGCTTATGAGGCAGATACCATTTCTTCCTGGCCACAGGATGGGTAAGCTGCCCTCAGTCACTGGGATGCTACTGAGGCCCCCATCCTTAGAGCTCATCCTTCCCCTTCATGGCTGAGTATGGGGGCATGCAGGTGCTTCTTTCCCTCTCCAAGGTCACTTTATTCTCATGAGAGGCAGCCTGGTCCCCTATTACAGAAGGGTAACTGCATCCTGGAGAAGGGGCCTCATGCCTTTGTGAGAGGTGCCCCAGTATGGTGCTGGGCTTTGAACCCAGGTTGGCCAGGCCCAGCTGCTGCGGCCTGACCAGCTCAGACTTGGAGACAGGGCTGAGTGGGAGGCTTGCGCTTCCTCCTTGTGCCTGTGACGACACGTCCTCAGCCCATGGTTGAGATTCTGCTTTGGGAGCCTGCTGTACAATCTGTAAACATGGGGCATGTATCCCGATGGCTGTGAGCAAGTAAGAAGGTGGTGAGCCGGCCACACAGGTCCTGCAGCCTCAGGCCTCCTTGTTGCCCAACAGGCGGCTGAGGGCGGGCCATGGCTGCTGATTAAAGGCCACTGATTAAAGGCCGCCTGGAGCAGCCTGTGTGGAGGAGACAGGTGCCCGGCAGCCCAGGAAGCCAGCCACAGCGTCCACCCCAGGTAAGCCAGCGTGGCTGGGTTGACGAGGATAACCACTGAGAGCCCGGAGGCAGGTGGAGGCCAGGCTGGGGCAGCACCTGTGTACCAGGGAGGCTGGGGATGACTGAAGCTTTCTCAGGTGCCTGCTTCCTGGCAGCTGACCCTAGGGGTGCAGACCTGGGCTTCTATGCCGTGGTGTCTCGGTGAAGATACCATCCTGGGCCATACCTCCCCGATGACATGGACCTGAAGGCAGGAGGCAGAGGCCTCTGGGAAGGGGTCTGGGTGCATCAGGCCTGCCTTTTGCTGTTTACTAGGTGGTAGTGGGGACAGCCAAGGAGGGACTGGGGGCCAGAATGGAGGGGGTGATGAGCCGCTAGCAGGTCTCATTCTGGACAGAAGTAACAGATCTGGTTACTGGATCCTAGCTCTGGAGGCCCCTTAGCAGTCTCCCTGGATGTGGGCCTTAGAAATTGCTCCTAGAGCCTCAAGTCTTA